CAGTCCTCACCATGAGCCTTAAGTACAGTTTCTTGCATGAGGCCACAAGGAAAGAAAATGGCAGAAGGTAGGATTCGAGCCCAGGCAGTTTTTGTGAGTTTGTGCTCTTAACCAGAAGACTATTTTACCTCTCAGTATACTTAATATTAAGCCAGATGGTACTGTGGAGTGTTCTACAAGAGTAGCTGACTTCTGGATTCAGAAGGAAAGGGAACCACTAAACGTTTCGGAAAAGGCATTTCAATTTATACTGCAAACAAAGAAGAATTGAAAACTGGCAGCTGCATGTGTTCATACAGAATACCACACACACTAAAGCAGCTCTAAAAAGTCAGCATAAAAGCCAGGGTAAATAAAGCAAGAAATGTCACTCTTGTCATAACCTATTCCATAGAAAACCTCTTTAAAAAACACCACCAGACCACAGAAGTGGAGCTGTCAAGTGAAAAGGAAAACTGAGATGACAAAGAACAATAGCTGCAGGCCTGTTTGCCCCAAGAAATGGTTAACTATCACTCCCCTCAATAATGACACAGTGAAACATAAGAAATTACACCCTCAGTTACAATTCCAGATGGTTGGCATCTTTGGGATTTGACTGGCGTGTAGTCAAGAATGTACTGTCACACCATGCTGGAATGTAGGGCCATCCCATGTCGATCTCTTTAGGTGTCAGCGTCTCAGGGTGGATGTGGCAGACTGACTCTCTTCCCCATTCCCATCTCTGATGTTTTCTCAGTGGTGGAAGCTGCAGAATAGCCATGCATATTCCTTGCATGCACATTAAATGGCTTTGGCTAATGAATGACAAACTGGAGCATTATAAATAGACCTAGTCAGTAGAAACAGTGTTTTGGTACAATTCAAAGGAACAGCATGGTCCATGAAGGTAAGATCTAAGAGGCTGGACATCAACGCCCCAGTTTACTACACTTAACCACCCAGTTTTCAGGGGAATTTAAAGCAAATTGTTAAAGAATGATACAAACCCTCAGAAGTAAGTTAGTAAAGAGAGGTATCAACCAACCTTGAAAGCTTGGAAATAACTAAGATAAATTTCTGTGGAAAATGTAGAAACAAATCCCCAAGTGCATAAAATCACGCATTCACCCAAATGCACACGCATGATTTAAGGGCAGTTACTCTACAGAAATGTAAAACAACCTTAAGAAAAAAAAAAGTTGGTAATTATTCTTGAAAAGAAATAATGAAAAATACTGTCCATATAGATGTCATAGCCACTTGTGCTAATTTACAGTATAAGATTCCCAGACCCGTGGAGGTCTCCAGTGTGTAGTATTTAATGTCTCCTTACATTGGCTTTATCTGGAATGGGTATTTATTTATTTCACTGCCATAAATAATGTGGTATAGAAATTGCCAAAAGATCCAGGGTAATAGTAGACCAAAACTAGTAATCTCTAATTTGATAAGAATTTGTTTGTTTTTCCTGG